TCCCCTGCTGTTCATAGGCTCCCTTTAGGTACTGGAAGGCTGCAATGAGGTCACCCCGCAGCCTTTTTTTCTCCAGGCTGAACAAGCCCAGCTCCCTCAGCCTGTCTTCATAGGGGAGGTGCTCCAGTCCCCTGATCATCTTTGTGGCTCTCCTCTGGACCCTCTCCAACAGCTCCCTGTCTTTCTTGTATTGGGGGCTCCACACCTGGACACAGTACTGCAGATGGGGCCTCACAAGAGCAGAGTAGAGGGGGCCAATCACCTCCCTGTGCCTGCTGGCCACCTCTCTTCTGATGGAGCCAAGGACACCATTTGTCTTCCGAGCCGCAAGGTCACACTGCTGGCTCATGTTAAGTTTTTCATCCATCAAGACTCCCAGGTCCCTCTCCAGAGAGCTGCTCTCAAGGACCGCTCCTTCCAGTCTGTATGGATGCCTGGGATTCCCAATGAATCCCAACAAACCCAATGAGCTCTGGTGACCATGCACAGCTGTGCTCCTCCAACAAGCACCTTGATCCAATTGACCTTGGATCCTTCCTTTCACCCAAGCTGCCCTGCTTTTTTGCTCCCTCTTCCAGCTTTTCTTCAAAAACAGACTCATCCCCATTCAGCATTAGCCCAGTACAGCTCTGGCCCCACAAATTTTGTGGAGTCCTTCTCCCAATTTGGGGTGCCATTCACACTTCTCCCTGTAGGACAGTGCTGCCTCACACCTCCCCAGGCAGTGCATTCCCGAGCACAATCAAACCGATTGTGTCTCCCTAAGAGGGAACAGCACAAGGATTTGCTATCTAATCCCATAAATCTACACTGACATCTTGTGGAGATCACGAGACCAGAATGGCTGTAGCCACCGAGAGACTGACTGACACGGCAGCTGAGACTAAGAGGAACCCGTGCCTGTCAGGCTGATATGTTGGGCACCCAGACTTCACGTTATGGGCAGCCAGGCTGCCCGGAGGGCCTCCAGTCTGTCTGCAGGGAAAACCAGTCCCCTCAACCTCAATCACCACCCTCTGTCTAAATCAGGAAAACAACTTTAGCCAAGAGATCCTTACAATCCCACCTAAGATGAGACTATTTACTTTCAAATCATTACTGAAAGCAATGGTGTGGCTCCTCTTTCATAAAAGCCGCAATGCTTCAGGCTTCTCATCAAAGCACAAGCTCCTGAGGAGGAGCTATTTTCATGCTGGAATTTTATTATCTCTGTAAGCACTGGAAGAAAATGGACCTGAGTAGCGCTCCAGGACTCCTTTAATGCTCCTCTTTGTCTTAAAAATATATGGTCTAAGTACTCAGGGAAGTGTTTGTCTCTGTAGTCAAGGAGTACAGACTCCCATTAGGCACACAGCACACCAATGCCACGGTATGACTGGCCAGTATAGTAAGAGCTGAAGCTCCACCACAAAGTCCTGCAACCAAAGCATCATTCCTCCAGCTTCCTCTTAATACCACACAGGGGAGAAAGCGTTACATAGGTGGTAATAATAAATAATAAAAACCCAATTTCTAGCAAATCATTCATATAAAGTAAGTTTAAAAAGGCATGGCATGCCATCCAATGTCAAAGACAAGATTGGGGTGGCATCAACACCCCACTGCCATCTTCTGCATTAACTCAGTCATCTGGCCTGTCATGGGTCTTTCATCCCCTCCCTTCAGGCATGGAACCATCCCTGAGAAGTTTGTTTTTTCCCAGCCCAACGTCTGACACATCAGCTGAAGTTGGAGAGACCCAGCACCAGGCTCCCAAGTACTGTAAGCAGATGGATGTCACCAAGAGCACAGCCACCCGACAGACCCACAAGTGCTCAGATGAACGGATGCCTGATGAGAGGGAATACAAGTCTGTACAATGAAGTCAGCACCGCGCCGCTGCAACCCGGGCAGTCTGAGGTTCTGAACAAAGCAAGGCTTGTCAGGAGAAGGAATGTCTGATATTTCTGGAAAAATGAGGCAAACAAACCACCACAGAGTATCCATTTGGTACGCTACCCCCAAACCAGAGCAGCAAATTCAGCTAAGGACAACTTAAAAAAACAGCTAACCCTAAGTTGCAAAAATATTGCTTTGCATTTAAGCTCATTATGATTATCAATAAGGCCACTGAGGGGGGCAGGGCAAGATCAGCATTTGGAAAGCAGAGATAAAGAAATTACAAGGGCAGAAAGAGAGTGTTAAGAAATTGTACGTGTTCAACCTTTTTCCACCTTCAATCTGTGGTTTCTGGAGAGGGTCGGGGGTGTTTGTGTTTGTTTTGTTTGGGGGTTTTTGTTTGTTTAGTCTTTGTGGTATCCACATCAAAATACAGAAGGGAACTGCCACACAACCCAAAATGCTTGCACCACCGACGTCACACCTCATTTTCTGGCCAAAGGCCAGTTCACCAGCCCCAGCATGGGTTTGGTTCAGGGCTGGGAACAGGCACAGAGGGGAACAAGCTGTCCTGTTCTGAGCACTCACTGATCTGCTCTGCTCAGCCAGGCACATCTCAGAGCACCTCAGCCTGCCTCTGTCTCAGTTCTTGTGACACCAAACCATAACAGCAGTCTCCATTTCCTCGGAGGTGGCCAGAACCCTTCTGAAATCCTGCTAGAAAGTCCAACCACGCTATTTTACATCTGGATACAAGTGCCTGTAGCTCAGCCATCTCCTCTCAATAAGATGGCTTTGTTCCATTGCACAACCATTGCAGCTATAGCTGTGTACGATATATCACAGGAGTATGGCATTAGCACTACATTAAGTCCTCAGCTTCAGGCATAAAGAAGGAAATCTAAGCCTGCAGTATATAACAGATGCTATTTCGCCTTCAACAGCTCCCAATGCTGAATATATTATGCTACACATAATACTACCTAGCCAGTTACAAGAGGGAAAAACCACCATCATAAGAAATCCCCAAATGACCACAGTGAGGGAACCCATAGCTCCAGCACCGGCTGCATTCTGCTGCATCCACCAGCAGCCAGTGTTTGCCCTTTGGGCCACAAAAGAATGCTTATGCTTGCTTCTAAATGACTAATCTTAGCAACACTTTAAATTCCTCCGAGACCACTCCTCTGGGATGAACAAGAAGTGTGTGCACCCCTCTCCAATACATGCCCTCATCCCAAAAACAACAAGAAGAGGGAAAAAAAAAAAGGAAAAAAAAAAACCACCACCATTAAATCCCTGCTGCTTAGGTTGTTAATGTACACTGAACAGCCCCAGTAAGTGTATATACATACGTGTAGCTAGATCTGATTATTCAAATCCTGTTGTCTTGTATTAACTCCCAAATCTATATTTAAGCACCTAAGAAGGAATTACTGCAGCTTTCCAAAGATGCTAAGCACCAAGAGCTCTTAAGAGCTTGTCAAAGTAGTGACCTCCTAATAAGTAAGTTTAAACGACAACATGCACCTCTGGTTCAAATGCTGTGAAGTTACTGCTCAGATACACAACTGAGGCTCCTGAACCTCTTTTGTTGAGGGCACAACATGTGAGGGCACAACATGCGAGGGCACTCTATCTTTCATACCAAAACACAGGTTCACTGCAAAGAACATACATTCATGGGCAAACTTGAAATACAGCAAAATGGAGGCTTTCAGGAGGGCCTCTTCAAGCAATTCCCAGCATCATTAACATTTAGGAAGAATGGCTTTTGTTAAGCAAAATGCATCCAGGCATTAAACTGAAAGTTAAAACCATTCTGGTATCGAACGGATAGACTTTGATATTGTTCTTGCTTTCTACTTTCCAAAGCCAGGAATTCTCTGAACAACTCTGCAGAAATCTGAACCTTGCTGCTCTTACAGCTAGAAAGTTGAATAGCAGCTTATCCCTTCCACAAAATGTTTAAGTCATAGAAAAAGGCCACCTCTTATTTTTCATTTGTTTTGTGCGGTTGATTAAAAATCAGTTTGCATGTGAAGCCAGTGCTTTATCTTCATTACAAAACCTCCTGCTCTGACTACAAGGGAATAGGAATAACCCTCATAGGGTTATTAACTGCTGAAGTGGTTGTTGTAAATTGCAGAAAGCAAGCAAGAATTCAATGCATGAGGCTGGAAATGCCCTAGAGATCTAAGCAGTGAGATGTAATCCAGAATTCTCAACATCTGAGAAAATTCAACAAAAGACAACTGAGGACAAGTAAATATACTGCATTGCTTAAGAGATACAAAGAACCACATGCATTTAATTAGAGTAAGGCTCATATAGTTACTTCAGCATCACAGGACTAGACAGAAAATAGTAGCACAGTGCAGCCACAATCAGCGGGCAACAGCTCTCCTTGTGAGAGAACCAAGTCCTCTTTCTTGTCCAGCAGATACAGGAGATAAAGCCTCAGCTCCAGACTTCATAGCAATCATAAGGAAGCTTGCTCTAATCATACATCATTTTGTGGACTTCTCAACAACCAAGCTATTCTTAAGCATTCTCTGATGAGAAGTTGGTCAAAGGCTTCAGAACTGCTGAAGGAATAGTAGAAGAGACTTGTGTTATTGCATGCAACTCACCACTATTATGCTGCACATATATCTCAAGAATCCGATAGCATTTCACTGAGAAGGTGAACTAAGGATTCATTTCATATGACCTAGTCAGTACCTACATTTTAAAATGAACCAAGAGAGATGATTAATGAAAGGAGATGGTATTCCAAGTATCATCCAAATACCTCTGTATTTAATGAACTAGCAAAATGAAGTGTTTGTTACTGTCTCAGTAACAGGTTTTAACAAATAAGGCTGCATTAGGAGTTTTTAAAAATGAAAGCACTGCAAGTTTTCAAGAATGGGAAAGATGAACAAACCTGTCAAGATACACCAAACGTGAAGGCAGTAGGAACTGGAATCTGATTTAATATTTCCTATGGACAAAAGATTAAGTTTCAAGTTTAAAAGACAACGATTTTGATAAATTAAATCTTAAATGCACATTCTACAAAACCTAGACTTTTCAGTTCCTTCTTTTGTTGCTAAAAGAGATCTACACATACATGGACATACACACACAGAAGTACGGCCTTTATTATTAAAAATGCAACTTTCAGATCACATGATTACTGCACATTTTCTTCACTTCAAGGTTAAGCACTTTCCCAAGTCTCAAATCTCTTGAAGAAATTCCTTCTTTTCCTCAAAATAATTCCGAAACCACTCAATATGTTCAATCTTCTGCTTAACACTGAGGTATGGGTTTTTTGAAAGCCCACAGATGACCAGTTCCATGAAGTGGCGAATAGGTCCTTGCTTGGGAAAGTCTTTGAGGTGTTTCTCCAGAAAGATATGTTCATGAAATTCAGCATCATCATCCATCCCTACCGAAAGGGACACAAAAAGGCAGGTCATTATCATCACCTAACAGAGAATTTAACAAAATAAAAAAGGGTAAAGCTTGTAAACAGACCTTTAATCAGAAAAATTAATGGTTATTGCTGAAGAATTAAAAAGCCCATAAACAAACAATGAAGAAGTGGAAGAAACTGCAGAACTCTAAGATATTAATTTCTCCCTCCATACAGAAAAGTCAGCATATATCCTACTCATCTGCCATGTTACCTTCATTTTATGCCCTACAAGAATATCTGATAGTAAACTTGCTGAAGGCTCATGCCAAAAATCGCCTAAAAAAAAAAAATGTTCAATACATGAAACCTTTATTGACTGTGTGCATTACATCTTAGATTCTCAACATTTTTAACACTTGAGGAAAACACTGACTGCCTAATTCTACAGAGGATTAAGGAACACAAGGTAGTCTTGAATGAAGCAAAATCTTGAAGTATCTAATACAGAACAGTTAAGAAATACTTGCACATTCATTACAAGTCACAGTTTTAGCACCCCTCTGCTATCAAATGGGCATGGGAATTTGTTTTTCTAATGTTTTTCAAATCTGTGGATGTATTCTGATGTAAAAACGTCTGTCACAACAGCTGCTACTTGTAAGTAGTGATCAATGCACAAGACTTTGCATTCAAAAGCATTCAGCTGCACAGGAAAATGGCATAAGGGATTGTTTAGATCTCTAACCAAATACAGCTCAGATCCTATAGTAGTTTTTGTCCTCCATCCCATGGATTTCATTTACAGTTGGTTCATATTTTAACACCACTGTACACAAGTTAGATTCAGAACACGAATTCCTATCTAAAGAAGAAGAAAAAAAAAGCTGATTTGCAGTTCCTAAGTCTGAGATAAATTGTTTGCCAACATGAAATCTGCAATATTTAAAAACGAGCCATCTCAGTCCTAGGCTTCGTCCCATGTTACAGCTTCTTCAATTCCATATGCATAATACTGGGACAGTGAACACTCTCAGCCAGTATATCATATTTGTTGAGTTTGTATTCTTTCCTTCCTATGTTAGGTAATGCAAAGCCTGAAGGAGATGGGAGATGCATCTATTTTTCCCTATGCATTTTTCCAAGAAATGTGTGCAGGGTCTATCAGTGCCAGCTACTTATCTCCCTTGTCTCTGAAACAGAAAGCCTATTTTCTTCTTCCATAAGCTCTCCTTTTCTGTTAAGTTAAAAAAGGAAGAAAAAAAAAAAAGACCTCACTCACTCTAGAGTGAGAATGCTTGAAAAACTACATCCACTTAGAGAAACACAAGGTTGGTATCTTATTATGCCATCTACACTGGCTTTCTCTCCCCCATGAACAAGTGGAATCTCATTGTACCTAGATGCTGACAGTTGACTTCAGAAGTTAACATCATTTCTAGATTTCATACTTCTGTTGGTCACAAAAATCCAAAAGAAATAAACCAATGAACCCACTACTGATAGAATCTGGATAGCGCTGCCAGGAAGTCTCATCTTTTTGATGCTCCTCTTTTGGTGATAAAGGAAGAGAGTATGTCTATTAATAATTTCTCCAATTTTCATTTCTATCCTAAAAGAAATTAAATCATTTTTAGCCTTATGCAAAAATTCAGGCCAGAAGGAACGATTAAGTCATCTGTTTTGATCTCCCATTTGAAAAAGACAGGATGAGTGGTTTCAGGATGAAGTGCTAAGTCGAAATATCTCAGTTAGATCACATATTTCAGTCCTCAAAAAAGTAAAGCATGCATCACAAGAAGAGACCAAAGCATCAGGGGCTGTGACTTCTGGCAGAAATCATGCATGATTCCTCCTCTCCCAGCAAGTCACACCTTCTGCTGCACAGAATGATCAAGCCTGTCCCTCACTCTCTCTCTAACCATCATAAGAAACCTCTTCTGAAAGAACTGGCACAGCAGGAGCCTGAAGCAGAGGATTTTCTTTATCAACCTCAAAGCAAGGTCATCTACTCTCAATATCTTATCTCCAATCTGCTGCGTACTACAAAAGCCTGGAAGAATTTCTCTAGCTAACACACTAACTCTTAAAGATGACCAGTCTACCCTTAAAGACAACATCTCAAATGTAGATGTCTATCCTTATAGTTCTGAAAGAAAGAATTTGAGCCCTTACAGTAGGTCCCTAAAAGAGATCAAAAATTAACAGAAGCCCTCCCTTCAAATGGCTGCATTAGATCTGTCAGCTCTCTTGGTAAACCTACCCAACACTAGGAACAGCACTACAACAGAACAACCAGAACAGGACTTTGTGTTCTTCTGCCTACAGAAGCCTTTGGAAGGAACTGGGACCTTAATTTGCTGAGTCTTCCACTAAGCCTATTGCTTATGCTGTAACAACCTCTGACATACTTGAAGCATTTGCTCCTCTGGATCAGAGTCATCAAGGTACAAATGCACAAAAATAATTTTAGGAAGTCAGAAATGGACATCTTCCTCAACTTTCTGCTATGGCAAATCATGAAGTAGAAATAACACTACAAGAAGAAAAGACAAGCAGAGGAGGAGTGAGAATGATGTCACCTGAGCTATACTAATGGCTTGCTAACCTGGTAAAAATTAGAGGCAGGAGAGAAGGAAAAAAAAGGTTTTCTTTTCTGCCTAGCAGTGACTTCAGCTGCATTTGAGAAGGGAAAGAACATCAAGAACATGCATGCAAGAACCAACAACAGGAAAAGGGGGTAGACTGCTACCAGCACTGCAGCAAGCCATTAAGTCTGGCCACATCTTCAGATGTCCCCATTAGGGCCAGACAAGTTTAAAAGTCATGTCCCTGCCTTGATACCTCAAAGCAAGCACAGTGCCTCAGTAAAGCACTCAAACAAGAACACTGAAGATGCTCTGAAGCCAAGAAAAACAGTGACAAACTGTCTTCTTTATTTTCCATATTTTATTTACAACTTTAAAGGCTTCCATAATGCTAAAAGTTGAGCACACATGCTTCCTCTGTAGAAAATTTAATTACATAGATGTTTGTAAAACCACGTGCTTGTGCATAAAAGAGCTCTCATTTCTTGATACAAAACAAGGCGAGGAATGACTGTTGCCAAACAGCAGAATTAACAGTGGGAACAGGCATCTTTCTTTTGAAATTGAGTATGCTGAAATAATTGGAGTGAGGTTCTGAAGTTTTTAAATGTACTTTGACACACCTGGTCTGATTAACGGCCTGTGATAGAACTGGCAGTTCGAGAGGGCTGAATTTCCAGACCTGATATTTTAACCTGAGAGCTGATAGATTTTGGAACGCTCCACTGGAATTTTCCACACCACCAGTCATTGTAGACAAATCAATAAAGATTCTTGTTTAACTACATGTAAAGACTCTTTGTCCATCCGTCGTCACATCCCAGACAGCACGGTTCCAGCCGCGCTGCCACAACAGAAAAACCATTGGCTGCCAAAGACACCTGGTCCACTAACAGCCCCAGACAGCAGGGTTCCAGCCACATTACAACAACAGAAAAACCACTGGCTGTGGTGTTGTTAAGTTGGAAAAAACATGAGTAGAGTACACTTGGATTTCTACCCGAACAGATAAATTCTGGGACCAGGGATTAAATTCTGTGAAGAAACTGTCAAAATAGGATGAGAATAAAAACAATGAACCAGATCATGCAATTTGCAATTCTGTAAAGGACAGCTTTTCAAAGACTCCCAGCTTCAGATACTAACCTGTTTTGCTTTCAGAATGATTTAGAAGTAATTCTGTTTGATGTCTTCAAATAAAAAAATCCACATTCAAGCTCTCCCTGAAGTTACGAATCTCTATTCCTAAAGCGTATGCTTGCTTCCTGTATTTCCTCTTCCCTTAACATTCTCTCCCTGTTGGCCTACCTTCACACAGAGTTTTGTTGTTATTTGCTGCTGTTGTTTTAATAAATGGAAATAGGAGCAAATAAAAGCACAAAGATGTCAAGATAGATGCCCAGAATGAGTGAATACTGTGACTTTTTGTGCTAGGAAACTGATAGAGCAAAGGAAGCAAGTGACTGTTCAACGCCCAGCCAGTGCAGACAGGGAACTGGCAAATAGCTAGCAACTGTGCCTATGAACCACACCAAAGAACAGTATAGGCATTATAAAACACTCAGCAGTTTCAAGAGTCTCCTTCTTCTGCTAGAAGCTTTACTTAAAAGACATTTCCTAGTAAAAGATATTATGTAATAAGACTCAAACAGCCTTACGGTGTCGAAAGCATCAGGACTGGGAGGCAGGGAGGGAGAGCATCCCTTTCTGGCAGAAGCCAACTGCCAGATCAGATCAGCCAAATCACTTGCAGGACTTCACCCAAAGAGAACCGGAATGAGTTCATCTGAAGAATCTCTCACTTGGTACAGCTGGAAAGTGACATTTGTTTGCTATCCTAATCCGAAACGCTATGTTTTAAAACAGTCCAAGTGTTACTTGGTGTTACAAGCACACCACAATTCTCAAAAATGATAAACACACATAAATAATCCAAGTTAAAATGCATGTACCTGCTTCATTGTCAATTGGAAACTCCCACAGTATTCCTTCTTTTGTCCACTGGATCATCTCTTCAAAACCATTCCGGGGAGGCTGCTCAGTTACTGCTGCAATCTCCTTCGCAAATTCCACATCCCAAATTGTTGGTGAAGATACTAAATAAGAAATAGATACTAAATAAGAATTTTTTTTTTTATAAGATCTATCAGTATGGCAGATTTCTCCTTGGCTAGAACTATATACATATATATCCTTTAACATTGACCTTTACAGAGACTAGTACTTGAGTTGTGCAAGCTTTTCTATCTTAGATGTCATCATCATCTTTCTTCAGTGAGAATTCTCTGTTGAAGTGAAAATTCACTCTACGATCAAATATCCACTGAAAACAAATCTGAACTTTCAGAGGTCAGTTTATTTTTAAGTCTGTCACTCAGAGCATGATTTTTTCATAGTTTTTTTCCTCCCTTTTTGTCTTTCACAAATTGTACACATGACAAACTCTGCACTTGGCTGGTACACTATACTAAAGCAATTTAGGAGTTGCTAACTAAAGCAACTAAAGGAGTTGTCAGGCACTTTACAACTGTACTCTCCTTCAAGGGGCAACTCTTATTTACAAACTATAGCAATCCCTCTCCTGATCCTCTTAAGAGACCTGATTTTTTGCCTCTTGGGCTTGAGAAATCCTGGTCCTCTATTCTTCTCCCAAACTCCAGCAGTTCCTTTAGGGATGCATCTCTCCTGATGTTTACAAATTTGAATTTATTTATGTTTTAAATCCAAGTGCACTCATACAGCAGGAGCTATTCTCAATGAGTCCTGCCCCTCTACCCCAGGAGAATCAGTCATGAGCCCAGACTGAACCACATCACTGAAATGAAGGGAAAATGAAGGAAGCAAGCTGTTAACCTTCATGAACTGGTTCTTCCTCCTGTGGTTATCAATTCACCCTGAACTTCCTGGGACAGAAATTTTGGTGTGAATTCAAATGTTACACTTGACGTAGATTATGGTCAACCAGCTACTATATTACTACTCATAATTTTGAAACTAAGATACAATTTAATCTTTGGCTCAATGACTTACAATTCGAATTTAAAAGAGTCTCCCCCACCTTTTTAGGAAATAAAAGTGCAAACAGCATTTTATTCTGTGATTTACATGCTGAAAAGTGTTTTTAATTTTGCATTAAATCAGAAGATACTTTTTCAAATTATATAATTATATATCTGCAAATTTTCCTGCTAAGAACTATATTCCCCAGCTGCCCACCTTGATCTGAGGGTTAGAGGTAGTAAGAAGCAGATAAAAGACAACACATAAAAATAGTGCTGTAAGTATTATCCACATCTTAAAGAATGCCTTCTAATTATGCCTTCTAATTATGTGCTAACACATCTTCTAATAGAAGTCATATTTTCAAGCTTACAATAAAGATTACATATTTTCACCTCTGTGCAACTGTAAATAATGCTGATATTCTATGCTCTGATTTTTTTTTCCCAATTTGCTTTAAGGTTAATGGTTGTGTTTCAAAATAAATACTCAATACTTCACACAGGACTTGCTTCTCTGTCACCTATAAATAATAATTTAACTCATGATCTCCACCAGCATGAGCCAAGAAAGTGAAAATGCAAGCCAATGGAACAAGATATCAAGTAGCACCTTGGTATTTCCTAAGGCTTAGACTTTTAATTTTTGATTTATGATCATTAAGCTTAGTCAGTAAACCATTTCACAAGCCTTCTCTCTTAGAAGGTACTACAAATTTTCTCAAGGCAACCTGGAATCAAAGAAGAAAATGCCATCTAAGCTGAAAGAACCTTATTTCTTTATATCTGATACAAATGTGGTAACGCCCACTTGCTGTCTTACACCACTTTTGGCAAAACTTATACATCCTAATTTCATATTTGGTGTGACTACCATTTTTGCCACCACGTCTCTACTGTGCCATCCAAGAAATACGTAACTAAAAGCTGATCGTTTCACCTCAAGTGTTGCAACTCAAACATTCAACAAAACTTGAACATCCTTTTGGTTAAGATAGCTTAACCAAACAAAAAAAAACCATCTTGCAGCATGCACTGTGGCTACACACAAAAAACTGATGGACTTTGAAGCCAACTGCCTTAAAAATAGCAAATTCAATTCTATTTTAAAAAGCACCTTTCATAATTCAACATAGAGATAGCTGCATTCAGAAAGCTCACAGTTGCTTGAATCTATGCAAAGAGCACTGTCTGACATTTGACTGGAGAAAATAAACTCACTATTTTATCCCTGGAGTTTCAAGTGTTTAAAAAAAAAAAAAAAAAAAAAGTAGAAAACTACTACTGGTCTTGAAACAAAAAGAAATCAGTACCATTTTCTAAGTTGCCAGAGAGGAATCATCTTTCTTCTACAGATGCTACCTTTATGTAGAGTTTTAAGTCATTACACTGCAATATCCCATTTTTCCAAAGCAGCTCAGGAGAGCTTAGTGATATCAGTACACTAAGGATTAGTGCTAGGAATGGAGTTTCACTGTTCAGAAAGCAAAAGCAAGTGAGACTACTTTAAATGGCTTGCCCATATTCACACACCCTCAGTCTGTAGTAAAGCTAAGTCATAATTCAATACTAGTCTTCTTGTGTGAAATTCATCCTGTTTACATTGAAACTGAGGCTCTTCTTCAGTTTCTTCATTGAAACTGAGCAGAACTGTGCCCTTCAGTGAATACAGAGGTGGATCATATCTGATCATATCCATTCCTCTCCATTCCTCCACTTTTTGAGTTTAACTTGGTGTGTATTTTTAATGTACACACATGAAGAATGAGCTACAGCAGGTAAAGCAAAGCATCTGTCAGGCACTACAGGATCTTTCAACACAAAGCAGCAGATGAAAGAAGCCCCCAGAGGAACAAAACATTCTATATAAACTATAAGACTATAGTTTGTTTCCACTGTGCTCTGGCCTAGCTATCTGTAGAGCAAACTTTGTGCTCTGAGATCACAGCTTTGAGTTTCTGTGTCATTAAATGAATGCAAGACGTCTTTGAAATAAACAAATCCACCAGCAGAATCCACAAAACCATTCTCCCAAGTGGTTTAGTACTGTCAAAAGGAGCCCAATCTAGTGACAAAAAGTCCGTTTTAGCCATCAAATCATAGAACCACAGAATGGCTTGGGTTAGAAGGGACCCTGAGGATCATCACGTTCCAACTCCCCTACCAAGGGCCACCAACCTCCAGATCTGGTACTGAACTCTGGAGGTCTGGTACTAAACCAGGCTGCCCAAGTTCAGTAACAGGCCATTCCAACTAGTACAGAAAATACTAACCCATGATACAGCATGCTAAAAAGTAGAGTAATGTTAAAATTATTATTTTTCTTTTTACAGATCCAAAAGCAGGAAGTGAACAGGTCAGAGTCTCCTTCACAACACCGAATCCTAGATATTCTAAAAATTCACAACTTGGCTCCACTGGGTGCTTTTTTTTTTTTTTTTTTAATCACTGAATTTCCACTAACCTGTTTTCAGCGCTTTTTCCGTTTCTGCAGAAGCCTTGGTGAATATATTAAGCCTTTTTCCTGCTTTAAGACTTCTATAAACAAAAAAGAAAAGTGATATTTGGTATTTCACAACACTTCACAATATTGCCAGATAAAAAAAATGTAAAAGCACAAAATATTCTCATGAACTAACAGATCTCTGGAGAAAAAAAATGAGATAGTGACTCTCACAAAATCCTCAGGCTTTTAACAGAGTGTTTATGACTGAATTATTACTCTGTAACAGAGCTTCCCAAAACACTTTGGCGTAAAAGAATGAGCATAAATCAAATATTATATTTGCAATCATTTTTTACTGAAATATTTAGGAATTGAATGCAGTTCAACAGTATCAAACTACAGTACTCAGTAACTTCACAAAGTTGTAACTAAAAAGAGAATTTGGTGATTGTTTTTTTTTTAATGTAAATATTATTACACAATTTGGGAAGAGAAAAGGTAACAGTTTAAACAAACAATTCCTGCTTTCTGACATAAATAGCCTTTTTGGAACATCACACAGCCACCTCCTGTGCCATATGGCAAACATATAAAGCATATCTGTATGATATATTTTAAACAGCATCACCCTGGTGCTCTCCCTTCTGAGCATGAAAATATTTTATTCCATCTATTTTTAAACAGGTAAGAGCCTATGCTAAAAAAAAATATATAAGTTCCAAGAGCTCAATGACCAATCCAAATAAATTTTCATATAAACAGAAACTAAGGAAAACCAATGCCTTTACTGTAGAGCACACTGAACCTTAGGACAAATGATTCTGTTGATCACGCAGCTGTCCTCGGTTTCGTAGGCTCCCACCGAAATCTAACAGTTCCCACATAACGTTAATATGTATCCACAGCTGCCCTGGCAACATCTGCTTTTCTTGACCTTAGAATTTCACCTCTTTGGTTTTACTGCAGATTTCTAATGCCAACAACTACTTCTGCAAACCTGCTCTTGTCATATCACATTTTACTGATGTAACCACCCTGGATCCACTTCAGCACGGAGCAATCTAATTACAAAGCCTTAAAAGAATGTTGATTTAGGATTATATTTTCCTACCTGTGTGTTAACTCCCCAAAACATTGGCTGAAGACAGAAGAATGACTTGGAAGAACAAGATGACTAGTTCAAATTACTAGTTCAAATTACTACAAAGCAAATCAGCCATGTCACTTAAATCTCCTAACCCAGTAAGTCTATTCTTCCTAATCCATTCTTTGCATATTATCAAACAACAAGTACACCTGTTAGACATTCAGGGATGCAGAAGGAAACCTACGACTGAAACTGGAGACAGTTACAGATACGTTAAAAATTATTTCAAGGTATTGTTCCTCAAGTTTTAAAGCACGTAAAATTTCATCACACAAAGAAGGCGAGAAGGGCTTCTCACATACCCTGCCGAGAAGGACCTGGGGTTCCTGATGGATGAAAAAACGAACATGAGCCAGCAGTGAGCTCTTGCAGCTTGGAAAGCAAATGTTATCCTGGGCTCTATCAGAAGAGGGGTGGCCAGCAGGGACGGGGAGGTGATTGTCCCCCTCTACTCTGCCCTCATGAGGTCCCATCTGGAGTACTGTGTCCAGGTCTGGGCACCCAATACAAGACAGATAGGGAGCTGTTGGAGAGGGTCCAGAGGAGGGCCCAAGATGATCAGAGGGTGGGAGCACCTCCCCTGCAAAGACAGGCTGAGGGAGCTGAGCTTTGTTCAGCCTGCAGAAGAGAAGGCTGCAGGGTGACCTCATTGCAGCCTGCCAGTACTTAAAAAGGATCCTACAAACAAGAGGGGAGTCAACTCTTTGAAAGGGTAGATAACAGCAGGACGAGGGGAAATGGTTTTAAGTTGAGGGAGGGAAGATTTAGGTTGGAGTCAGAGGGAAATTCTTTTTTACAGAGAGTAGTGAGATGCTGGAACAGGCTGCCCAGAGAGGCTGTGGATGCCCCGTCCCTGGAGGTGTTCAAGGCCAGATTGGATGAGGCCCTGGGCAGCCTGGAGGTTGGTGGCCCTGCATGTGGCACGGGGATTGGATGATCCTTGAGGTCCCTCCCAACATGGGCTGTTCTGTGTGATTCTGTGATACCATAAGTTTAGTAAACATTCTTCAAATTTGCTTTACTTACTGTATATTAATAAATAAAAAAAACATACACCATGTGAGCACGTAATAGCTCAGGTTTTTGGTATATTCTTATAGCTCACATTATTTCCATTCTTAAACTTTGAAAAACTTCTAATCCAACACCTTAAGACAAGTATTCCATCCAATTACCTAAGAATCATAGCCTAATAACAAAATCACTATCATCTGACTACCAACTCATCCGATAATTACCCCCAGATTAAAGATATCTTTTAAGCTATTATTCAGCAAGTGATAACGAAGGTTGTTTCCTCACTCTGTAGGCTGACAGCTCGTAGCTGAATGAAAATTCCAAGAGAAAAACAGCAGAGCTGTGAAGGGCTTGGTCTAGAACCTCATTCCACTTCTCTTCAGCTCCCAACACAAGAACTCTTGCACTTTTACATGCTTTTTATCAAGTAAGGCAAACACTGCTTGCCGGTCTTAAAACAAGTCCCAAGAGATAATTCCCTAACCTTAATGGCTTGGCACCTCAAGAAAATAGAAGTTACATAGGAACATTTCAACTAGCATGCCAAGTTATTCTCATGACTGGCTATAGAATCTTCTCCGAGGTTTTTGCATTATCTACATGGCTTAGTGCTTACGTTCCGCTTTGTTCCTTGTGGAAGTCAGAACTCTGTTTACAAAATACTCAAATAGATGTCTCAGCCAAAGAGGGCAGAACAATGTACACCTACTCAGCTACAACTTTATGCTCATGTTCTTAGTTCTCCATGTTTTTTCTCCAGCATTATCCACCTTTGCTCCCTTCCAATATCTGAAAGGTGCTTACAGCGAGAGCGGGGCTGGTCTGTTTTCAAGGGGAAATGGCCTCAAGTTGTGCCAGGGTAAGCTTAGGTTGGATATCAGAAACACTTCTTCACAGAAAGGGCTGTTAAGCACTGGAATAGGCTGCCCAGGGAGGTGGTTGAGTCACCATCCCTGGATGTGTTTAAAAAACATTTGGATGTGGTGCTCAGGGACATGATTTAGCAGAAGGTTGTTAGAGTTAGGGTAGGATGGTCAGGTTGTGGTTGGACTCAATGATCTTTAAGGTCTTTCCCCACCTGAGTGATTCCATGATTCTATGATTCTAAACACAAATGAATTCCTCAACTTCCAGATCTCCAAGAAAGTGAGGTTAATTTGCAAGGCCATGACTAAAGAAGTTAATCTTACTAAAAACAGAACTGCCACAGAAAGAATATGCTGAAAAGAAATGCAATCATGAGTTACGATGGGAAAATAAAAAAGAATGCAGGCACGGACTGAGAGATAGACTGGCCAGGTAAAAGAGCAGCAAGAGCTTACAGAGTAACCTGAAATCATCATGTAAATTGAGAAGTTCACTCTATAGACAATTACCATGTCATGGGCAATAAAGAAATTATCCACAGAATGACTTGCCAGTTGCAACATGGTAGTAAACACTGAAAACAAACAAAACAACAGCAACAACAAAAAAAAAAACACAGCTCTAAAAAAATATCTTTAAAACACAAACAGCTCATATCCAATCTGAACCTTCCTTCCTTGAGCTTAAAACCACTCCCCATTGTCCTGTCATTGCCTACCTGAGTAAAAAGTTGATTCCCCTATGTTACCCATTAGTAATTTTTCACACGTTCCTCCTCTGAGAGATGGAAAGTAACACTACAAAAGTACCTTCCGGAGTCAAAGGAGAGAGATCTTCCAGGCTTGATTCTTTGACCATCTTCATCCATCTCCAAGGAGATGCGACTGGATATCCTCACACCCCTCTGAGCTGGGGATTGCCTCTTAACCGCCATTTCCGAAATAACATTGCTGAAATTAAAAATGTAAACATGAAAACTTCAACAAACTGACAGGGAAAAGAAGCTTATCACATTTATTAAGCAGAAAGTCTACTCTCCATTGGTTTAAAAGCCTCTGTAAGACAGAGCTAATACATTCCTCACAAAATGCACCTATTTTTAAGTCATCCTAATATCGAGCATTACTTTTTAAACCATCTACATATAGAATGTAAGAACTGAAAGCGGTATTTTAGCCTACAATTAATACTTTCTTGGAAATTATCTCATTTCCAACTACAAGAAAACTACCATTTCATAATCTGCATATCTGTTTTCACAGAGTGTACTAGGTACATTTTGCTCAAGTACATGAGAACGTTCTCAAGATACAAGGAATCTGCTGAAGCAGGGAGGTAAAAAAAAAAACTGGAGAGGAATCAACTCTGCCCAGGGACAGAGCTGCGCTGTTACACACTGAAAGGAAGCTTGCTTTCACACATCAGCTGACATGGGTCAATCATGCCACCCTAATAAGTAGGTCACCTTTCCTGATCCACTGCAATCTGCTGCATTGCATAATCACATTACAGCACTTGCAAACCTCATCTTCCTTTGTAATCCTGCAGCCAAGATCATATACGAAGAACAAGCACTCTTATCTTTGCCAGTGCAGTTTGTAGTTTATAGTGAACATAAAGGCTAAAACATGCAACATACCTGCCCCTATCAAATAAGTCCCTTAACTGCTATGGCTGTTGGTTGGGAAAGACCAAGGAGATCATTCCTCACAGCTATCCCTTTCTCCCAACTGCTTCCAATAACGTGCAGGCAGCCAAAATTGCAGTGCTCAAGTTTTAATACATAAAGCCTAAGTACAAAAAATACTGCTCATTCACTGCCCCTTGCTGGTTTTGTTACCTTAAGTTAAAAGAGATTTTATTAACAAGAAATACTTTTAGGAAATTATAAAATCTAACTGCCACAGCAACGCAGTGGGATTTTATCTTCAGTCTCAGGTGAGGTTTTAAATTTTAGACCAAGAGTAGCATAGCACTTCAAGTACCTACTCTTAAGGCATCAGGCAAAAAAGGGTTGAAATCTTCTTTTTCTTTAAGGTTAAAGTGAACTATCTCAGGTTACCTGTGTATCTCACACTACAAATTGTTCTGTGAAATGCCTAGAGGTATCAGTGGGCTAGAGACCCAACACACTTCTGAGGGTCAAGCAAATATAGTTCCTAAGGTCACACACGGCCGAGGCCAACTGCTCAGTTTGGCTGTGGTATTCCCCATGCTACAGGGGGGATGAGGCATCCTCCAAGAAGCTCTCCTCGTGACAGAGGTTGATTTAGTGGCATTTTTGCACAGTGGCTCATACTTCCTTCTGCACAGACTATGCCACCAAACTATTTAGCACATGCAGTCAACGATCTCATGTTTCTGATCAGAAAGTCCTAATGTCACCCCTTTGCTGGTACATGAACATTACTGGCTGCAGTGCTCGTCACTCCGTAACTAATGATGCCCCTTTATTCCCTAAAAATAAATCTACAAAGATGTTTTTAATCACTGCCTATAATGAAAAACGTCAGATAACAAATTCATACTCCAACCCGAGTATGTACAGTGGTTAGATATTACATGATAAAACCTCACGTTCCAGCATGAGGTTAAGAATCTAAATTCCCAGTTACCTCTGCCTTCCAGAGATGAGAAGAAATTGAGCTTTTATAATCAACACAGATTCTCCATCTTTCCTGACTGCCATTAATTATAACACCAAAAACAAAGACTCAGGAAGCTTAACATCTGTTTTAGCCTTAAGTTCCAATTACTTATTTTCTTTAACCAGAACAGGAGCTGAAATTTCAACTTGTATTGCCACTGGTTTTATTTTGGTACAGTGCTGTTGTAATTTCCATTGAGTGAAACTTCATTCCACACCAAGAAAAATAAATTCCTGTATCATTAATATTTTCCCCTTCTTGTGAACACGCTGTCCTCACACGTTTACACAACAAGACAACGAGAGCTGTGTAACACTGACCTCTGGAGGTTAGGACACACACAAACCAAAAGATCCAGAAAATACACATCTCATACCCTCAAAAATCTCAATTGTCTCCCAGTTTTTCCACAACTGGGCATTATGTGGTTCCTTCCAGTACCTAAACATCCTACAAACAGGAGGGGAGTCAACTCTTAACAAAGGTAGATAACAGCAGGACGAGGGGAAATGGTTTTAAGTTGAGGGAGGGAAGATTTAGATTGGATGTCAGGGGGAAGTTTTTTTATACAGAGAGTGGTGAGGTGCTGGCACAGGCTGCCCAGAGAGGTTGTGGATGCCCCATCCCTGGAGGTGTTCAAGGCCAGGTTGGATGGGGCCCTGGGCAGCCTGGTCTGGTATTAAATGGGGAGGTTGGTGGCCCTGCCTGTGGCAGGAGGGCTGGAACTTGATGATCCTTGAGGTCCCTTCCAACCCAAGCTATTCAATGGCTCTATGACATCACTTGTGAAGGTATCTCATCTTAAAAATTGTTTTAAATAAAAGAGGAATTTTTTTATTTTTTTATTTTTTAATTTGTCAGTATGCTGAATGCAAAACCTTATCCTTTGATTCAGACATGATTATTTGATATTGATTTTTATTTGGGAAAAACAAAGAAACACTTTCTGATACACTAAAAGGACTCCAGTGTTGTATGTGGATTGAGGCACTTTTGCGGAATGAACTCCTGCCCAAGAGGCATGAATGAAATCAACTGGACCTTTCAAATCAACCTTTTTAAAACTGACCAGATAGCTAAAAGTAACAAATGAGTCTCAGATTCTAACCACAAAAGGTTAGAATCAGTCATGACAATCAGCAAGTTACTGATCTTTCTACACAACTCATCTACTGCTGGTTTCAGACTGTTAGCTAACTATAAACAGAACCTTTCGTGTTTCCATGTGGAAAAAAAGTAATTCACCAAGCTGCCATCACGAGTAGAAGAAACTGCCAACCCAAAGCATAGCAAGCTCATCATGACCTTCCTAACCAACTAAAAACGCCCTATCCACATTTTTCTAACCTGAACAATTTATCCACAGGCACACTGAAGGGTAAATGTACGATCACATCTTAACGTATCCATCAACTACACAGAACAATGCAGGAACTTTGGCTGTTAAATGCTCGTAGAATTTAAACTCTCTTTCAGCAGGAGAAAAAGAAAAAAAAAAGAAAAGTCTCTCTGCTTAGACTGCAGCTTCCTTAGACACCTTCTTTTTTCCACAGCAGTCACAGCTGGTATGTGCTTCAGGACAAGCATAGCGACTGGTGAGGACAGAGAGCCATTGTTGCCAGTAGGCAAAACAACCAAATTTAGAGTGCATGCCTCAATAAATAGGCACAGGTGCACTTGAGGTTAACCACTGCATTTATTAGCTTGGTCAGTAATAGCATGACCCTCCAACATCTTATCAGGAATTAATACTCTAATTACATTTAAATTGGTAAACTCACAGCCTAAGCCACTATTAATACATTTCTCTATCCTGCTCGTCTAAAATCCCTTGCAATAGAAATGGAATGACCCCACTGGTTATTATCAGTTTAACAAATACATTCTTTACACAAAACATTCCTCATTTATTCTTCATAATTAGGAAATGTCTCAGCTTTTTGTAACACTGCCCAGAAAACAAGCCAAAAAAAGAGCAGAAACACACTGATTTTACTTAAAACACTCAGATTTCTGATCTCATTTTGGCTCCAAAAGCCCATGGAGATAACTTCTATCAAATTCTCAAGATTGCTTTCACTCAGCCTCAGGAGAGGTCGTGAAAACATCATACACACAACTTTTGGAGGTGCTTGTATACATTACCCAAAACCAATACGTCCACCTATACAACATGGACTTCAAACACTTGAAGAGAATTCCATTCTGCTCTCCACAACTAGCAATCTAGGTAGAAAATCCTGAATTCAGGCTGAAAGGAAATCTTGCCAAGTTTCTGCCCTTTCCTTCCGTAACCTCTAGAGTACACATTTTGTTTATCAAAGTTGTTCACTGAGCACTGTGCTTTCCAAATACACAACCTATTTGCAAACAGTTGTCGCATTCTCCCTTAGTTCTCCCTCACTAAAAAGGCAGCCATCTGTGGCAAACATTGTTAGTTTCTTGGGTGCTGTTTGCAGTCCAGTGAGAAACACACGAAGTACAAACAAATCTTTTACAGATCCCTATAGCAACCTACAAATAATAGTACAAGGGCCAAACTTGAATCCTGGTTTGGGATAAATTCATTTCCCCAGAATAAATTCAAACTAAAACGATCAGCTCGTATCCCACCCTGCAAAAAGCCATAAAGATTTCATATTCCTCTTTTGCTGAAGATCCAGTTTTCTGTTTAGTTCAACATTTCACCCGGATTTAATGCCTCATTTTCTGAGCAGTTGTATGAATACAAGCCAAACAGATAAAAAAAGACAACAGAAAGCCTATTTAGCTGTCATCCCAAAGAAGTGTAATACACACACAACCATTCAAGTTTCCAAACAAATGTTTCTCATCTGTTTGAAAGCCACACTGGAAACGGACCAGAGCCAAGTGATGAGTTTCTTGGGTTGACTGGAAAGTTTGGAAAGGAAGGGTGGGGCTATAAATAGAGCTGCACTAGTACAGTCCAGTTCTTCAAACCTGTCATGAAAACTCACTGGTCCAGACAGAATGTCTGAAACGTCCACAAGTCCCTCCATTGTGTGAAAATTTCGGAAGCTGAAAAAAAAAAGCCCACTGGCTTTGCTAACCTATCCAAGAAAATAATGATCCTGGGCAGGAAAACAATTCCGTTTCTGCAAAAACATTTTAGAATGAGGATGCCAAAACTTAGGAGGTTTGGTATAACCAGACCAATGATATCTCCATTACTCATTAATTCCATGGATAATAGGTCCAAATTTATCTCCTAGGGCCATCTCTCCAAAAGAGAATCTAGTAACCTTCACGATGACACTGCAAAATTAGAATTTCAAGTATTATTGAAAATAACATTCAGTATACGGACCGTATGTTAATAGTTCCTCCCCTTCTCTGTTTATCTGTGGTCTCTTCATGTCTTCTAAGTTGTGCAAGTAATTCTGATTCTGCCTGTTCCTTGCTGCGTGGGAAAGAAGATGCAACGGCAGATGCAGCCTGCACCAGTTCTGGATTTAAAGGTTTGCTTCTGTAAGAGATACAATAGGGAAATATATATTTAAAAAAAAAAAAAAAAAAAAGCCATAATATATTAAAACTGTCATTTCTGTATCGTCATTTTATATCTTCCCATCTCAGGGATCACCGCTGCAAATAATCCCAAAGGGGCCGTAGGTAAACAGAGGGAAGGTCTGATTTGTCTTACATTTCATTGATCTACTGCCAAATGAGACTGACAGGCTGCTCTTCTCAGCCTGGGGAAAACGGCAGCTATGCCAACTGTCCGAAGTTAAATGCTGATGACCACAAGCAGCACTGACCTGCAGTGGGGGGGTTATTGTGGAGGGGTTCCATGCACAAAATCATGTTGCTCTCCTTATTTTGTTCTTCCTTTTTCCTCATCACATTTTATCTAAACAATATTTCCTTCCTCCCTCCCATTAAAGAAACTTTCCACAGACAAATTCTAGTGCTTTCAAGAGCCTCAGCACAGAAGAAGGCAGGATACTGTAAGAAGCACACATCTTTTGTCCAGATTCTCTCATGTGATTTACTGAAACCCACATTTGTATACCACATTCTCTTACAAGATTCTTTTCCATATTTGGTAACAGCATTTGACACTTTATTTTGTCCTAGAAAATGATTTTTAAAAAAATGGTGGGGGAAAAAAACCTGTTCAAAGTGCACACGTTATACTTTACCGCTGAACGTCTTCTGCAGTATTCTGAAATGTGCCACTTTCACTGTCCAGGCCTTCCTGCTTGTTAGTGGCTTGCTTTTTCATCTCCTGTTCTTTTAATTCTTGAAATTTCCTCTTGGTGGTCACTTCTACTTTCATATCACCAATAATTTTTAGCAATTTTTGCTTTGGTGTTTCTGCTGCACCCTCCTTTGATGCCGCTTTGATGGTGGTGTCTGTGGAAGCAGTAGATTCATCTTTTGTAGTAGAGAGCACACTACTAGTGCTGAAGAGTCTGCTAAATAACACAGAAAATTGAGGAAAAAAAAAAAATAGAAGTTATTAATACACTCCAAGGCTGAAAAAAAAAACCCAAAACCATTACTTACAACTCTCTAGGCTTAATCGTGTGCAAACAAATCGTGTCTATGTTAAGTACATACGAAACATATTTTTTTGTTCTTTGAGAAAGACCAAGGCACTATTTTCAGCTCTTAGCAATTTATAGTTCCTTCAGCACAAAAAGCATGTAAATGATTTTATTCCTTTCACAAGTAAACTGTGCTTAACCTCTGAACAAAGTGTTGAGTATCTCTACATTAGGCTGCAGACAGAGTTCGTGGTTTCTACCTTCTACTACTGGTGTTGGCTTTATTCAGTGCTACAGATTGTGACCTTATAAAAATGAATTTGAATGAATCACTTGCAGTTTTGTAAGCCTAAATTAAAATAATAATAAAATCACAGGCCTGTTAAAAAAAAGCCAGAACAAAACAAAATTTAAAAAAAAAAAGCATGCCAATTACAAAAAGCAACTCATACCTAATACCTGCATTTATTACTACTAAAGTTTTTATTTATTTCTGAATTTATTGCCCCTAACTCCCACCCCTCAGAAAAAGAGATCTGACAACATCCGTCTGTATATACACTGTATTTTCACTTTGTTTTGCATCTGCAGGACTGCTAAGGTTCACATTAAACCTAGGATCTGCAGCACAGCAGCCAAGCATTTATGCAGCTGTAGTAGGAAATGCGTCACAGAATCATTTAAATTGGAAATGACCTTTTTAAGGCCATGTGGTCCAACTGCCCTGCAATGAACAGGAACACCTACAGCTCCATCAGGTCCTTAGAGCCCCATCCAGCCTGACCTTGGATGCCTCCAGGGATGGTGCATCCACCACCTTTCTGGGCAACCTGTGCCACTGCATCACCACCCTTATTGTAAAAAACCTCTTCCTTCCATCTGATCTAAATCTCCCCTCTTTTAGTTTGAAACCATTCCCCCTTATCCTGTCACAGCACGCCCTGCTAAGAGTCTGCCCCCTTCCTTCTTACAGCCCCCTTTATATAATGAAAGGCTGCCCTCAGGTCACCTCGCAGCCTTCTCTTCTCCATGCTGAACAGCCCCAGCTCTCTCAGCCTGTGCTGGTAGGAGAGGTGTTTCATCCCTGGGATCATTTTTGTGGCCCTCCCCTGGGACACACTCCAAGAGGTCCACGTCTCTCCTGTACCGAGGTCTCCATTCCATTATTACTTCAGTCACTCTGCACTTAGTAAATTACCCACAACAAACGATTAACGTTAAACCTTAAACGCTGATAGGAACAGGAAGATTCTCACAAAGCTTCAGAGCCGCATTACAGGACAACAGGCGCCCTGCTGTTTTACACGGGGCTGCTCCCACAGATCTTTCTCCAAACGCGTTTTCCATTAACCCAGGCTGCATGCTCTTCACAACTATTTATCCATTCGGAGATCTCTGCCTACAGCACTGGAACAAGCTCAGGCACCAAGACTGCGAAGCCCTCAATACACGGAGCCAGCGGCACCCCGCTTCTCTCCTTCTCTCCCGCCCGCCCGAGCGCCGCGGGTAGCAGCCCGTAACCGGGCACAGGCCCATGGCCGCAAGCCGACTGCCTTCACCGCAAGGCCCAGCTCAAGGCAGCAGCGCGGGCAGGCCGCGCGCCCGCGATAACGCTGAGGCGACTCCCACTCCCCGGTACCTGTGAGGCCGCCCGCAGCGCCGCGCTGCCCCGGCGAGGAGGAGGAGGCGGCCGGAGCCGCGGAAGCGACCCCACATGCCGCCCTCAGCGCGGCGCTCGCAGCCGCGTCGTCCGTTCAGCGCCGCCGGCCGGGAACGGGAGCTGCGCCGAGCGTTCCGCGCCACGGCGTTCCGCCCGGCCCCGCTGCCGTGCATGGGCGGGGTGACGTCGGGGTTGTGGTCTTGGGGCCCCAGCAGAGCTTCGAAGGGTGTAAACCTCCACGTTACGTAGTTTTTCCCGTAGGGTTGGACTCCTGGTGGGCTACGGGCACATAAAGCTTAGGAATTACCTCGGGATGAGCCCGCCCTCCCTTGCAGCACCTACCTCTAGTTGGGTTTCGTGGAGAAAAAGTGGCTCCTTTATGTCAAGTTTGTGTCTCTATCAGATAGCTCGCATTACTTCCACCCCTGGGCAGTCATTAAGTTGGCTCTGGATCCACCAACCGTGCCACAACGGAAAGTGGCCACCAGTGCTGCTGTTAAGTATGTATTTCTTGATTGTTTTGCCAGCAGCTGATTTAAATTCCAAAAAGCAGGTTGTGGCTGCACCATCTCTGGAGGTGTTCGAGGCCAGCTCGGATGGGGCCCTGGGCAGCTGGGTGGCACTGCTCATGTCAGCAGGTTGGAACTCAATGATTTTAAGGTCCCTTCCAACCTAAGCCATTCTATGGTTCTTTAATAACGGCTTTGGGGTGCCCAGCTCAGGGATGGACACATGCAGTAGATCTGACTTGAGGCCTTCTGCTGTTGCTGAGAAAAGATCCAGCTCTGAGCACAAATGCTAACAAGAATCCTGATCTGACTGAAAAGGATCAGAGGAGCTTCAGAGGTACCAGAAACTAAAAGAAAATATTGGGTCTGGCCTACATCTCAAAGAAACCAAACTGAAAAAGAAAACCCAACGAACTGGGAGCTGCTGTTGTTGGCCAGTTTCCTCAAACTGTCTGACTGTTGGCAGTACTCACTTGTACGTATGCTTTTTGTCCTCTTAAGTGTTGCTGTGTTTGTTCTTTTTTTTCCCTATTGTATGGAATAGCAAATTCCAGGTGACTTTTTCACCTTGGTATACAGAAGCCCTGTATTTCCACTACACCTCTCTTAACTGATTTACTGTGGCTTGATGGTATCTTTCTTGCTGCATGTTTTAGGCAAGAACCATTCCATGTGCAAGTTGTCTGGGGAAAAAAAATTGTCTAAAACTCTTTCCTTTCTTCCTTCAAAATTTAGAGATGTAGAAGAGAAGCAGAATAACTGGAAAAACTGTGGATGGCTACTAAAGGCAGATGATGAGTACTAGTAGAGGCATGAGAAACGTTATGCATTTTATGGTTAATATCAATATTAAGCAAACTAAGAAACCTGATTTATTGTGTGGCCAATGTATAGAAAATAAAATATGGAAAGACAGTTCTCTCACTGAAGATAAATGTTCCTCTGAAGACCTACTTGTACATTATTATTGGAACAGGCTGCCCAGGAAGGTGGTGGAGTCACCATCTCTGGAGGTGTTCAAGAAATGTGTAGATGTGGTATTGAGGGGCAGGATTTAGTGGGCATGGTGGAATGGTGGTCTAGATGATCTTCTAGGCTTAATGAGTCCATGGTTCTACAATCCTATGATTGGAATCAGCAGTAATTTCACCCTAAATTTAGTAACATGACAGCAGTGTCTGTGTCATCAAATCTAATCCAAACTATTTTGGTGGTTTTCAGCTGCCCATTTACACAGTTCTGCATTATGTCCTGTTTACCCACCATTTACCCACATGTTCACTGTTGCTTTAGAGTCACCACAAGCAGATCCTGAATGATAAAATGCTGACTGCAGCCAGGTCCTCTACTCACAATGATCCTCTATAGCAACAATATGTACATTTTCCCCCATACTTGTGTTATTCCCCCAGCACAGTGCTTCCAGATAAACTTGTAGTGAGTCAGTCTCCATGCTTACTAGAAATATGCCTCAGTCCAGGCAGCTCTGCAGTTCCCAAGGTGACAGGACTGCCTATGCTAATAATTAATTTGGTGCACCAGAAATGGACTTACAGACTGAAATGTCTGATACTGAGAATCCTCACCTCTGTGCCAGGAAGTCTATTTTGCTTTAGGTTCGGTCTAATCCAGCAGACCAAACATCCCTCCTAAATACATGGTACAAAGTTGTTCCCAGACTTTCACTTCAACGATTGCAACCTCAACTGGAAAGGCCAACTCTGTTCTTTTACTTGCAGCATTCCTTCAGTATTAAGATTGCCATCACCTGTATAAGGCCTGAGATGCAGAAACAATCTTACTTTTGCTCCTTGTGCAACCTCCATGTGGCATTGTATGGCTTGATCTACCTCTACATGTAACTGGGTGAATTTTGGTGGTCTCACTTATGCAGCTTCTGCTGCTGTTCCACGAGGACACTTTAGAAAAGCTGATGTTCATCTTCTTGGATGAACTAAGGAAAGGCAAACTGGTTTCTAGGGAATAAATGATCTGCCTGTGGTTGACTGGAGATGGGCCCACGAGCTGGGACACTGGGATCCTGCAGAATGGAAATGAGTGCATTTTGCAAGGAAACCCTCGCAGAAGTTATCGTTGGGCTTTATAAAAAGGAGTGCAAGTAACACAGAGAACCACATGGTGGCAATGTGCTCCTTGCAGCGCTGCATTTCACAGCTCTAAACTTTCCCACGCAACATCTCCAGTACTTTATACCTTTCATGCTGTATCTCAAACACATCCCACCAGGACTAGGGGTCTGAACAATCATAAAGTCACAGAATGGCTCAGGATGGAAGGGACCTAAAGCACACTCAGTCCCAACCCATGCCATGGGCAGTGCCACCCAGCAGCTCAGGCTGTCCAAGGCCCCATCCTATCTGGCCTTGAGTGCCAGCTGTGGGGCACCCACAGCTTCTCTGTGTAGCTGTGCCAGGGCCTCACCACCTCTGAGTAAAAAATGTATTCCTAACATCTAATCTAAGTCTCCCTTCTTTAGTCTAAAGCCATTCTCCCTTGTCCTATCATTACCAGACCACACAAAAAGTCAGTCCTCCTGCTTGCAAGCTCCCTTTAAGTATTTGGAAGGCCACAATGGGGTCTTTCCCAGAATAATCATCCTGAAACACCCAAGATCTGATGATGGAGCTGACAAACTGCAACTGCAGGCAACATGTATTTCTAATGGCAAATTAGTCACTGTCCCCACTGCGGTGGGCATTAGATATTTCTCACCAATTGGATCTCCCAACAGCACTTCAGTTCTACTAAAAAGTCAACACAGCTGAAAATTCCTAGCAATTAAACAGTAATCTGTTACAGATCATTTGAGATGCACAATTAACCTGCTGTCACTAAATGGTTACCAAAGACCCAGCTATTATTTCTACTCTCAAGTAAAAAATTCACAATTTGGTAAGTCTGCTCTTCTTTAATAATTGCCACATTTTGAAGATTAGCCCCAAGTCATTTTCTTTGCTTTGGGCTCTCAAAACGGGAGCAGTTTTATCGAGGAGAAAACACTGTATCTAAGATGGAAGGTCTGTATGTCTCAAGGCATGAAAATACACGTGGGCTATACTGTGTCCTGTTGTTTTCAGCTTGGCACAGCTTTGGAAGAGCCTGATCGTAGGCATTTCAATTAATTCTCAACCAAAAGGAGGAAAAGGAGCTTTGCATGGTTTCAGTAGAAGGAAGTGATGTTAGTCCTCCCCATGTTGCTTGAACCATTATATTCTACCTCAAATTGCCAAAAATTTAGAAGCAATAAAGGGACATCTTAGGAGGAGTCATTTGACCTGCAGCAAACTGCTGATGGATGTCTGTCCATATTCAATATGCCACTGGCTTGCATGTGCAAGTATAGCCAGAGCTGTCAGCAAACTTCAGAACAGGAGCACCTTTCAGCTTGTATTTCCACAATAATATGTGTATTAATTAACACATGTGAAGCGTATGGGGAATTTTGTATTTTAGCAAAGAGGTAACAGCCGTTTGTTTTTTTTTTTTTCCATTAACTGTTATACAAACAAATGGCCACATGATAATTTCCCTTCTCCCGTGCTGTTTCAATAATAAGCATGCCAAAAACTGCAATCAAGCAGGAAAGTAAACACGTCCTGTTCAAGCACGTGCCTGTTGTGGTTCCCAGGGAAATAACTCTGTCTTATCTCTGGTAATTAATTCCTACCTCAGTGCCATTTTATTTTTTTTTTTAAGGCAGATGGAATAAAGCTGACAGAAGATGAGTGGAGGATGACGCTCCGCGTGACCCAAATTGCAGGATGCTGCGTGGCGGTGCGCACACACCAGGAGCACAGCTCCACAAGGCCGCTTCCCTCCATCCTTCCCCACCACGTGGAGCCACGCGGCGTCCCGCAGCTCCCGGAACCGGGAGACGGCACGAGGGACGATGCTCCGGGACCCGCAACCTCCCCTGTGGGAGGCGCCCCCCGCCGTGCGCGCTCTCCCCGGCGACCCCAAGGCCCCGTCCCCAGGCTCCACCGGTGCGTGAATCAGAGCCGCGAGCAAACGCAGCCACCGCCGCACGACAGAGGGCGCGGGGAAGGCCGCCGGGGACACCGCGTCCCGCCCACCGCCCGCCCGGCCCGTGCCTTCCCGGGGCCGCGGGGGGGCCACGCCGCCTTACCCCGTCGCCTAAATAAGGGCGGCGGCGGGGCGGTTGGGCGCTGCGGTGAGTGGCGGCGACTGGGGGGGCGGGCCGGCCTTGTCCGCTTCCCAGAGCTTGAGGCGGGAGGCGAAGGCGCGGAGCCGAGCGAGTCCTGGGCGGCAGCCGGCTCCCCGCGGCCTGCGGCGCCGGGCGGACCCGGGGCTCGGCTTGGAGCGGCGGGTGCGGGCTTCCTCCGTTCCTCCTTCGGTTCCTCCCCTCGTCTCGAGCGCGCCGGAGGTGGCCGTTCACGCGCACCCTTCTACGCCGGTTGGCTGGCGATGAGCAGCCGCCGCAGCCTGCCGGGACTGAGTCCGGCGTGTCCCGCTGCACGTGGGGCCGCTCTGACCTTGGCAGCGGCGTCCCGATGTCACCTTCTGCCCTCGGAACTCCTCCGGGCTGGGCGTGGGGAGGTGACGCGTGTGGGGTTGGGGTGAAGGCCCTGCGGACCTGTTGAGCTCGCTGATGCTTCTGTGTTTGCAGGTCCGAGCTCAGGGTT